TTACTCGAAATGGAAGTAATTCTATTCCAACTATCAGACGACATACAAAGTCTACTGAGGTGGACAAATATTCCTCTTGCTTGATTGGAAAAGGAGAATGGTGTATTATGGTCCTTGTATTCTCACTTTCAGTTAAGCGTTCGTGTATATATATATATACATAAGTATGCTTCGACAAAATTAATCACCTCGGCTGGCCTGACCTTTCTTATGACCCGGTTACAGTAATGCGTTTCTCTGATTTGCATAGAATTAAATTTCTGGATGGTCCAGATTGGGTTTTACATCCGTTTTTGTTGTTGGAGTTGGCAATCCAATGTGAATTTAGAGATATCTACATATGCACACAATAAATTATTGGAGCTGTATACACTCCAGTTCGTGTTAGGTGATGAAGGACTGGTAATTGAGTTTTCCCATAATGATATGAGTGGGTCTCATGTTTCCATTGCCTTGCTTTCCAAAAGGTATTGTATTCCACGGTATACCGCAGTTTCGACCTCGCCTAGGTCTCATCACCACTTCCAGTAGGACTCGAAACGTGGTATTACAACATATAATCTTGACACATTATCCATACTGCAACATTACCACAATTGCACTTAGGTGGCAGGGCAGAAGTGAATTTATAGGAAGCCAATCCCATACCATATCATGTTTCGAATTCAAAATTACAGTCTGCCCTGGGTAGGATTACCTTTTGAGAAGCAAGGCAATAGAGGCATAAGTCCTACTCATATCAACACATACAAACTCAACTACCAGTCCCTCATCACCTTAAACGAAATACAGTGTATACAGCTCTAAGAGAAGATTTATTGGTAGTCGCAATAACCTTCTTATGATACCAACATCAACAAACTAGTCAAATTATTTTATATCTTCCTGCTAATATGACCAAGTTGCGTAATAAAGTTCAAATAATTTCTAAGTATAGGTAAGTTTCTTACTTTTTATAATGTTTTTCACAGGCTGGATTCTATCTCTGGTAAGAGAAATAAAGGAGAACATTCTTTTACGCAAGTCTATGTGTGATATCTCGAAAATTACTTCTCCGTGAGCATTTTGTTTGACTAAACCCATGAACCCAAGGGCAATCCGGCTTAGTTTTCTGGCTTATACATAAAACGAAAGTCGGCCAAACAATTATCTCTCAGAAGATTTCTCAATCAAGTTTCTTTTTTCTCCACTTAGCCATATCAAATGACCCATTCATCACCATATGCATTCATTAACCATGATCACTTGTATATCTCATAAAATTCCTGACTTATATTTCTTTTATTTCTAGGTGACAGATTTATTGTCAGATCCAATGGAATTAGTTGCTACTAGTTTTTCAATGGCCAATACTAATCCAAACTCAGGAGCTCTTACTACGACAGCCGTGGCTGGTTCTTCTACGATCTCCGGCTCATCCAGACTTCCACTTATTCCTATAGCCACTTCTGGTTCAGTAGCTAGTGAAGTTGGAGCTAGATGCGTCTCCTTCCCAACCGAATACCATCTCCTCCTGTCTGGTTCTGACCCTGGTGTGGACAACGGATCTATAAGTCAAACCCACCATCAGCTAATTGGTTCTAGTCACCACCAAGTGACATTAGTTGAGTTAGCGGTTCCAGAGAGCTCAGCTGGATTCATGGCGGTCACCACTACTACAACACCGGCTATCGCTGTCTCCTCAACCAATGGCTCCCCAGGAGTAAATGGGCCGCTCGATTCACAGATTTTTGTCGAGACCCCTAGCTTCTTTAAGTCTCATCAAAAGAGTGGGAGTAAGTTTTAAAGTGTGAGCCTATCTTAATGAGATTTCTTTTTAGGGAAGTAACCCTTTATTTATTTGAATTGGTGAATGGTTATATTACATCATTTTAGTTCGTAAATTTAATGGTGATTGGAATTTCCTTTCGAGTGAAAGTTTGTAATTAGGAGATTCCTAGATTGGTCTCACCAAAGTCAATGGTTGGTACCTTTAGTATAAGGATGCTGTCTCGGGCTTTTACTGAGACGTTGAGGTTGACGCAGTTTCAGAGACATCCCTCTTCGTTTACAGTGAAAGCGTACTGAGCTTGCATTTTTAAGTTCAAAACACCTACTAGCATTCCTTTTTGCTATATCATAACATATTTGTTCAAAAATATATAAATAAAACTCTATAAGGCAACCAACTTATATTTTAATTGGTTGCTTCTAATAATCGCGCATATATAAGCCCTCACTTGCAAACAAGGAGAAAACATGTTTATCTGAGGATACTTGGATTTCGAAGAATCCCTTTATGTTTTTAATTACGGGTGGTAGAGATTGGTGAATTTATCTCACCGTAAACCGAAGGCAGATTGCCTTGGAGTCTTATCTGCAGATTTGTGCGAATAAGTCCTCGAAACACCTCCTTGCTGGCCTAATGAATCCATTTAGAGCTTTCGTCTTTCATGTGAAATTGTAAAGACAAGTTATCATAACTCCTCAAGCTTGCAGACCTAGACGAGATCGAAACCGCAGTCCACCATGGATAAGATTTGCTTTAGCGAGACAGGGCTAAGCGAAATTCGACATTATCGTGATGTCTGCACATATCTTTGTGGGAAAATTGGGCTCTCAGTTCTACTGATAATCTTAAACCCACTAAGCATGAACATAATGTTAATAAAATTGTATATCCTGGCGATCACGATGGATAGGACAATACTGTTCACAAGCTTACCCACACAACGGTAGTCTGTGAACAAACTGGATTTTTTGGGAGTCTGTTGCGTGGCATACAATGACTATATTAGCAAAACGGTAGGAAAATTAAGCATTAGGATCAAACAACATTGAAGACTCTGAAGAAAAAGGGATACGGAGTGATTGGAAATAACGGAACAGTTCTCTCAGACAGGACAACAGAAGGAAGATGTTTATACGAAAAAAGTTCAAGCAAATCAAAGATTCGGAGGGCCTTCGCTATGTTTGCTGTTAAAGATATTGAAAGATTATAAAACTAGCAAAAAAACGGCTCAGTGGTTGAGCAAACTTTGTATGAATCAGGAACTAGAAAGGAGGGATCGTAAGGAAGATTCATTAGAAATATAATCAAAAATGGATTTAATTTAATCAATCGGCAGCTCTATAAATGTGCTTTGGAAGAAGCCTTGTTTGCCATGTGACTCACTGGCACTCGTGGCCTTGGAGTGAAGTGGGAACGTCACCACAAAATTCACGACCTGGCATCGAATCCCGTCGAGGGTGCAGATAAGACCTGGGCGAGATCGAAACTGCAGCCAACTCTGGATACGCTAGATTTTAAGGAGACGCGGCTAAGGGAAATTCAATTGCATTCCTTAATCCTTTTTGGGAAAATTCAGCTATCTGTCAGTAAAGAACCAAGTTTTTTTTCAAACAATTACTTATAGTTTCGAGGACTACTTATTCCGAAAACACCAAACCCATGATTTAACTGGTTACTTCATGATTACCCTGCATGCTTGCAGCTGAGTGAAGATGGTCATCAAAAGTGGATGTGGTCGCAATTGTTCCTTTAAATAAATGAATCAGCATACGATCCTCTCATATTGACGCCTATTTAGGTGCGTAGCATTGTGTATCTATGCCATGCTTATCTCATATAGGGTTTGAAAGCCACAACCATGGTCGAGGCTGTCAAGCCTCCAACTCTTACTCTGAGTTCTTTTCTCTTCACCATTACCCTTTACTTAAGACTATCCAATAGCCATAAATCGTTCGCACTTATCTCCCTGTCCTAATTTCTCTTATTTTAAACGCTGTCTGTCTTTTTATTTCTATAAACTGCCTAAGCTTATACTTTGACGTAAAGTCCGCGTGGCTGCAAAAAAGATGAAATTTTCGCCATTTCCCATACGTCTCATATTCCATACATTCAGCCAGTCCAAATTTTTAACACAGACATTTGTGCTATAATAATCTCTTCTAGATAGTTAAGCAGATCTATCTCATACAGACATTACAATGTGAAGGGAAGACGTTGTAACACTCTGATTTAAGAAGAGAATTCTCACATTATCGAAAAGAAGATATGACTGATTAAAATGATACTTTCTCTTCATATAATGTTATGATGTTCCACTTCCCAAATGGTTCATCCAACCTTTATCAAGCTGATAGGATGGTGAAATCAGTAGCTGAGTAGAATGCTTTATCTGCCTATCCCACCATTGCCAGCAACTCTCCCTCATTCTTCGTTTCATAAGTACGTTTTCGATACTACCAGCAGATCTGATCTAAGAGCTGCATTCACCCTATTTCGTGTAACTAGATTGGTAGTTCAATGCAGCTCTTTCATCATATCTACAAGTATTCTCGAAAACCTACGTATAAAACGAAAAATAAGCAATCTAGTCGATTGATATAGCAAACATAAATTTGCTTCTTCGACATGGCGTGAGATAAAATAACCGCTAAAAATGGAAAGTCCTCATTAAACCTGCTCAAGAAAATAAACTGGGAGTAGTTCAATGTAAGCAAGTTAGAAGTTATTTACGTGTAGACTAAGAAGATGTACAAATACAGAAGAAATACAACAATCCTTCATTAGGAAGTTGGTCAATGAATTAGGTTCGTTTATCTCTTTGAAAGCTGTAGCTTTGTGCATTAAAGGGCATTGATGATGCTGGAAAATGTATGGAAATGTACAAATTCCAAGATTTGATGCTGAACATTATTATAGTTACTATGCCTAAGGACTGAGGACAATACACGCTCTTTGAGGTCGTCTTGACAACACTAACAAATTGTGAAAACGATTTCAAACCACATATATACATGGGAAGAGATTGCGTCCAAAACAGTAACTACAGCGTTCAGTGGGCTCTCTAGTTGTTCCTAGTCGAATTGGCCTCGCATTTGGATCTATAATGGCTGTTTATCCCTACTCCTTTGTGCAGCAAACGCTTAAATATTGTAGCTGTTTCGTACCTACATATTATCATTACATAAAACTTAAATTCGTTCTGTAATGTATCATTTCTGGCCTTTATCGTGAATATTTTTAATTATATTTCTTCCTCTTCTTCCGATTAATTGAGGGATTTTTTACTCCTCTTTTTTGCCCTTGGTGGTCTAGCCATTTCTACTCTGCTCCGTAATCCACAAACTAGGCATGTAGCTCGTGAGTTTCTTGATGAATCTCTACTCAACACTGCAACCAGGACTCATCGAAGAGCGACTGGTCTGTCAGGGTTCGACGATTCCAGAATCCTTTCAACGCCAGTATCTGCAAGCACTTTGGCATCGGCCTCACCTGCACCGATGACGACTGTATCGATACCCCAGCCGAATGAACCAGAGAAGCAACAAGTGGTGCTTATTAATGCGGATGCCTCGTGCCTGGAGAAGGCCTCAAGTAAGCGTCAGTACATATATCATGTTTAAGATGACGTCCTTGACTCTGTCACCGTCCCCTTTAGTCTTATAACTCTAAATTGATCTAGTTTTATAACTATCCAAACAGACATCCCATTTTCTTATTATTTTATTATATCTTTACTTATTTAATTTTATCTTTGTGCTTGTCACAATTATTGCATTTTTCCTCATTTTTTTTTAATTTTTACCTATTACTAAGCAAAAATTTCCTCTCCATTCTTTATGTATATTTGCTTCTCCAAATTACCGTCTGTTACGCACTTGCTCTATTAGCAACATGTGCTATGTTGATCTTCAGCAATTATATCTTCCTTTACCACCTTTTTTCCTCCAGTTTTATTTGAGCTTTGTTCATCATTTACATTCTTTTTTTATTCTACCTTTACCTTTTGCTAAGTTGTTGATTGAATACATGAAGGTTAGTCTATTTGATGCAAATACCTTTATTTTTTCTACCATCTGATTATTCTTTTAGTCGTGCCGATTTACATGACGACAAGTTATGGAAAGAGGTCGCCAGCCACTCTCATCGAAGTACTTACTACCTCTACGGTCTCAGACTCTGCGGTATCTTCGGTTGCTACTACAGTAGGCTCTGGTCTGATGCAAACTGGCCGACAGCAACAGCAACAACATCAGTCACTAGTACAAGCTTGTCAAGCTGAGCAGCTTTTGTCACAAAAACTTATACCTCCACATGGCTCAGACGAGACAAGTGGTATTCTCTCTGACCACTCTGATGGCAGCACCGGCTTTGCAAGTCCTGTAGGTGGCATCTATTCTCTATCTGAGACCTTTTATATCAAATTAATTTCCCTATTATACAATACAATTGCTTGAGCATGCATAACTTTAAGACTGCTTCATTCATATTAATAAAACTGATATATTGGCTGTCTTGTATTATGATGAATCTTTTTTATCAACTTAGTTTCCTATTTTTAAAAAGGGGCTAGCTTTTAATATGGTGCAGAATTGGTGTTCGTATTTATTTTCTTGTTTGTGTTATTACATCAATTAGAGTCTTGAATTAGCATTACTGTGTACATAAGGTGAAAATCTTTATCTTATTTGTTTTTACAACTTGCACTGATTGTGCGGCTTAAGTGAACGCGTATCTTTATTATAATAACAGCTTGTAAAATCAGCCAATAAATCTTTAGGTGTTGTCTCTAACTCATAATTATTAATATGAGATGTATTCACCCTATTTTGTTTAATGTCATGAAGGACTGGTAGTCGAATTTTCCCACAATGATATGAGTATAACTGACATTCCCATTCAATTTCACATAGCCTTGCTTTCCCAAAATTGTTCTCATCCAGAGTGGACTGCAGTTTCAACCTTGCATAGGTCTTATCAACACCCCCAGCGGGAGTCGAACCGTGACAGTGCAAAATGAGAGCTTGACACATTAACCACTTGGCCACATTGCCACGAGTGCCCTTGTGTCACAGGGCAGATGTGAATTTCAAGGAAGGTCAGGCCTTTTTGCCATATATTCGTTGGTGGGTTTGTCGATGAAGCAAACGTATATTTGCTATACAAATCGACTACGTTACTTTATTTTTCGCATTTACGTATTGTTTCGAGACTACCAGTAAATCAGTAGTATGAAATGCATTTACCCAATTTCGTTTAAGGTGATGAAGGACTGGTAGAAGAGTTTTCCCACAATGATTAGTCAATTATGCCTTATAGAAAATGACTCCAATGCCTGCTACAATTGCTGCTTTCCATGTAATACCAATGTGGCGAATATGAATGTAGAATTTTATCACTTGCATGCTCTACCACATATCACATTTTTACTATTTTTGGAATACTTATTTTTATTCTGGCTTTGCCTCATTTAATTTTATTGACAGTAATCTCCGCTATGGCGAGATCTAAATCAGCCACCAGACCAGCTCAACTGCCACTCAAAATCAAAAGCTTTCTCGCCTGCTGACCTGCAAATTAGTTAATTTACCAATAAAAAATAAATAAATCTAACACAGTATTGAATAACACACATAAAAAATATATATACACAAAATGGGCTGCATAATTGTTTGTAGAAACGGGCTTCCTTATAAGCTACTCATTCTCTTAAACTATCTGCTTTTGCGATCTACTGGTACTTTTTAACTACCTCGGCTTAATTCGGAGTATCCATTGTTCTATAATATCTTCATTTGACAGCTCATTGTATGTGGATTTACTTTTATAGGCACTCTTATTTTCGAACTGACCCATATGCATATCTATGGTTGACGATAATTATATCAAGATTAATGTTACTGGTACACATGCTCACTTTGACAATATATTCGTAAATAAGGTCACGTTTACGAGACTACACGTCAACTTTTATCCATTCTTGCATATCCAACTCTTCCATAAGCCAGTAAACCACACGGCTATAACTTAATCCTCCATTTTCTTAATTTTAGCACCTGCTAACCCTTCCTCACTGCGCCGCAACATCAAATGCTGCTTCCATTCTTTCGACGGGCCCTGTCCATCTGCCAGATTTCGTCGGTCTAGCTTCTGCTGCCAGTCTCTGTCCACAACATGGGCACTTGCTCTTGCAACGCCAGCATCAGATTCACTTTCAACAGCAGCAAAATTATCAGACTAATATAAGTACACCACCCCCCAACATGAGTGCCGCCGCCGTCTCACTTCTTCCACAATCTATGCATGGCCTGGTCGCTACAGACGCCAATCTGTTGGCCAAGCCATCTTTGAGCTCTGATGAGGATCAGGAGACTTCCGCAACCCAAATCAAAGCAGATTATCTGCTCGATAAGAAGACTCCAATGTCTTA